CCGTGGCGGCGGTGGCGGCACAGCTCGTTTCTTTTTCCATTGTTTCAAGCCAACCATTATCCACCATGCAAATTCATCGGCGTCCACTGTGCCTCTGGCTCTCCGCGTTACGTAAATCTATTTTGCACTGCCGGTGGACGGTCGGTGCATCTCGATGAAAGAAAAAGGAGCGCGAAGTCATCGCGAAACGGTGACGTTTTGTAACTTGTCTTGTGAAACGCGAGGACCTTGAACAGGAATTCTAAAGAGAGGGACAGAGAAAGAGAGAGAAAAAGCTGGAAAATTAGAGAGTAGCGCGTGTCGGATTGCGAACGCTGTGGGACACACGCGAAGAAATCTAATAGAGTCGCCTAAATCAGCCGGCATTCCTCGCGTTATTCCCTCGAAAGGGAAAGAAACGGATCCCCCTTGTCGTTCGACCGTTATAATATTCTGTCCGGCAATCCCGTATCTATTTTATTGTGTCCCCGAGTCGCGGCGTAACTACGTGAAAACAACATAAAGAAAAAGAAGAAAATCACGTCGCATAGAGATATCGAGTTTTGACCCCGATGGGGTCAGCAGTGAAGCGTGTGACCATTTTGTCACCCTCGCGAAAATTTTATTTACGAATATCCGTTGATGTATACGGTGTCCGAGGCTCGCGGATCTACATAAAACCATCCTCCACGTGGAACATGGTTCTTTTTCGTGTTAGGCGTGCTGCAAACTTCCGGCTGAATTTAAATGTCCAATTGAACGGCACGTGGATTTCTCGTCCCTCGATTTGCAGCTGTACACGTTGGGGCGTTCGACGAGACGCGGAAACGTCGTCCTCGACGTGGTATCTCGGGTCGTTGTTCCGTGAATTCGTGTCTCTTCGAGGCAAACAAGAATTCGCGTCACGTAGGTGTCTCCACTTCGCGTGATAAGTCTCCTCGAAGAAATTACGCGTTAATTCGATGCTCTCGCACCGCTGTATTCCTCGTTGTTCGCAACGACGAAAGGGAGAGGGTGCGAGCTGTTCGAGCCTCGATTGAATGGCGAGGGCGAATGAAACAGAGAGGAAAAGAGGGAAAGAAAAGGAAAGGAAAAAGGATTTAAAAGAAAAAGTCAGTCGGGTGTCCAATGGTACGGAGCGCAACGGGAAGTGACGAGCGAGGTGGTTAGAGGTGACTGCAGCAGAAATCCATCAGATGGAAGAGATCACGCCTGTCTCCATGCCCGGGACAATGACGCGGCCCGCAGACGCTTGTTTTTGTATTCCCGCTCTTCTCTCTTCCTCGCTCGTCCTTTCTTTTCCTTTTCTTCCTCTATTTTTTTTCTTCGTCCTTTTTTCCCTTTTCCTTATTTTTTTTTCTACCTTCCACCCCGACTCCATCACCACCCCCGGCGCCCGATTCCACGCGGCACAGTGTTCCAAGCCGTGCAACGAACGGCCGAATGGGTAGGGGAGCTTTAAATATTTAGGCGGCTAATTTTCACGGAGGATTTTTAAGCCGACGAAGGAAAGTGAGAATTGAAAAGAAACGCGGTGACGCGGAGCAAGAAGAGGACTGTGGGCGAAATGTCCTCCAGACTGAAATAATAATAAGAGGCGCCAGCGCCTTTAATCACGATATTAAACATTTACGATTGCTATGGCGTCCTGCTCTTAAGACGGCTATTCTTTTCTTCTTTTTTTTAACGCGGCCCCGATCCGATCTTCCCTTCTGCACAAAGACGACCTACTCCTCCCTGCAACCGCCAACGCTCACGCCACCTCTTGTTTATGTTTACGTACCTTCTGATAACCTTACGCGGAGATCAAGCCGATTCACCGAGGCTTCCTTCAAGATGTACACCCCGTGAACGGTGCAACCATACGACCAACACTCGAGATCGTTGCCACAGGGACGAAGCGAAACTCGGGAAGAAGTGGGTGTGGGTCGGTCTATCGCGGTTGTAACAGAGGGTCGACAGCGAAACGAGAACTCGCTCAAAGAAACCGTCGCTGGGCGTTCGAGAAACGCTTCATTTTTCTTGGCTGTTGCGCCATAAGCCACGAAGATTATGTCCAGGCTGATCCTCGCTGTATCGATGACAATGGCGAAAGGCAGCGGCGAATCGAGCAGACGAGAAGCTTAATCTAGTCCTCGGTTTGTTTTGCTTTGCCGTGCGATTTGTCATCCATTGTCCGACCGAGCACGCTCGGCCCGCCATGAATCGTTATTTATGGTTTTCGCTTGATTAATTTTTGCCTCATCTTCGTGATATCGCGAAATTGTCTGCGTCAAGCGCAGCCTTTCGTGGCTGACGCTCGATTTACGATTTACAAGCGTTTCCATTGTCGCTGGCAATTCTGTTTGTGAAAGTAACGCGGATGGTTGAAAAAATTCCCACGAACGAACAAAATTTTACATCGGCTTTGCAACTAGCGTTCGTTTCAGCCGACCGATTGTTGGAATAAAACCTCGTTGAATTTAGTCGAAGGGATATCATCGGGTGCGAACATCTCGTTGGGGTGAAATCACATTTTTAAGCTTCGATTAAGGTGACGATAACGCGGGGCGATAGCCTGAGAAGATAGAGATGAATTTAATATTCCGAATCCGGATAACGCGATTTCACCGGACGTCAGGCTTGAAACGCGTAAGTATTATAAGTACGATTTCCCTTTTCTGTTCGTCGAGGGTTGGATTGCTTCGTAGCCGAGGTATTTTCGAGGTTGAACCTGTTTTTCAATTTCTTCCTGTCTCGCTTTCACGCTTCGACGTGTTGCAATCGAATTATCGTGACACCGGTTGGGTCGAACGAGCGGGAAACGAACAACGAACCCTCGATACTCCTCGAAGCATCGATAAGAATTTAACTGCTAACTCAAATTACATAATGCAAAGTGGTCGTCGATCGATGAACGTGGTTACACGAAGAAAGATGGTAGAAAGGAAGTTTGGAACGAGTCAGAAGGGCAACAGGAAAAAAATAATGCGAAATACCCCGATTCGCGGACACCTACCCAAACTGCTCCATTCCTCCCTGTCGTTCATCCCCTTTTTTTCATAGCAGACCCTTTATACGTCGACCACAGTATCGACAGGAATGGCACCCCTCGGCTAAGGGCTGAATCTTCGAAGCTGCTGCATTGTGCAACGTTCGCGCAAGGGTTGCTTGAAATACGCGCGTCTGATTTTTTTCCTTTCTTTTTCAACGCGATCACCGTGCTCTGCCTCTCCCTCTGCCTCCGTTCCCGGTGATCCTGCAATCGTGCAAGTAACGAAGAAAGTCGAGATATTCGCGTGGTAACGTGAGAATGACAACAGATGCGGTGGAATGAAATTACAAGTGTGCCGGGTTCATCGTGCCCGTGCCGGCAAGTACACAGGAGTTGTGCTTTTTTAGCGAAATTGTTGTGACAAGCATTTCAACGGGCGACTCTTGGCGTTTGCTTTCTTCTCGATGCCGGCACACGGCATCCCCTTTTTGAATAGGGTGGTCTCATGACACTTTTACGGTGTCAAGTCCTGGTCTTCTGGGAACAGGGCTGGCCCTGCTGTTCGGTAATCCGATTTAATCGGCTCTTTTTCCTTCCCGGTACGACGATTCGTATGAAACTGTTGGCGAAACTTGGAAACGTCGATAAAACGTTCGACAAGCCTCTACGATTTACAAAAGGGGATGAGCATGTTCGTAAGGCCTCTGAACGTTTCGTCGAATAAGAATTATGCACGTGAAACGAACGATACGATCGTGGAAACGTTGGTAAGTCGTCGGGTTCGCTAAGAAACCCGTACGGTTATGTAAATACACGGAGACGAAAATGGTTGGAACTCGACTCGGTGTAACAGGATTAACGGGCTAAAGTTGCTCGCGCATAGTTCGTTGCCTTATCTCAGTTTCCCTAATTGTCTATGACTATTCATCAAGTCATTTATACTCGGCTCAATTATCGCTGCCATCAGTTACGAGACTCGAGTCACTTCGAATCCGGCTTCGGCGAAAGCCCCGACCATTTATCTTTACGCGGAGATACCCCGTAATTGCAAATCAGCTTCTAGCCCGTCAATTAATGATTTGTTAGCAAAACCATTTCTCTTCTCATTTAAACACCATTTTCTCGTTAAGGAAATATTTCAGATTTTTATTCCGTGACCGAGAAATTGGATATGTAATTTATGAGATATATTTATATGTATATATATTCATTAAATATGAAAATTCTTTAAATAAATCGATTAATTAATTAGAGTTGCTATACGGATGATAAATACGTTTAATTAATGTTGGTATATAGGACGAAATAAAAAACAAAAAATATTTGCTAAGTGTGGGGTTCGAACCCACGCTCCCAGAGGGAACCAGAACTTAAGTCTGGCGCCTTAGACCGCTCGGCCAACCTAGCATTGGTGAGATGTGCTAGTGTTATATAGGTATATATGGTATTCATCAGTTACTAGTCATCAGTTATAATTTATACTAAATGACAACATATTATATGTGACAAATGCATATTGTATAATTTAAGATGAAATTTAATTTTAACCTATGTTATGCAAATACAAATATCTCTAAACAGATCATACAGTTCAATTTAGCATGATAAATGATGTTAAAAAAGTTATTTGGCACCCACAACTATGATCTAATGGTTTTTTAAATTCTTATTTAAATTCAACGCCGGACTCCTTGACTGATGCAAATTTATCAATTTACAGAACAATAGATTAATTTACCGTGAAGCGGTAACGAACTTTCCTTTCTTGGGAATCGTAGAAAAATTACGGAAGTTGTAAAAGGCGAAGGGCGATTTGAATAATACAATCATTATTCACCCTCGTTGTTTTCAATGTTGACTAATGATCGACTTAAGAAAATAGCGCGCACTCGTAAAACTCGATTGCTTTCAGATACGAACGTTCTCTTTGTCCCTCCCCCTCCCCCCTCTCTCTCTCTATATATATTATACAAGAGCGTACGTTGCGCTTTTATGCACGTCTCCCTCGGGGAACGCGATTGAAATAATTATGATTCAAGACACTTACCGAATCGGTGGATATACTTGGCTCGCTTCATCTTGGTCCGATATAATCGTCTACCTTCTCACGTGAGAGAGTCCAACGACCTGTTTCCATTAGTCGCTTTAACACTTAATACAGTGGTCTGCGGATTTATACGCGTATCATCTACGGTGCTTCACTGATATAACAGTAAGGAATTGTGTACACAACACGATTGTGTGATGCATGGTCGATAAGTCAGTGTATCATACACATATACGTTGGCGTCGTAATAAAACCGAATCGTACTGTCTGGACTATATTTCGTGTCGTAAAAAAACGGTAACTTCCCTGAAAGTAGTCGTGTATCGTTCTATTCGTTGTTAGTATATTTACTAACGGGGTTAGGTTTGATGTCGTGGTTGATGTTGGGATCGCGTGCCACCACTGTCGTACCAGTCTGCACCTATCCCGTCGTTAAAGCATACTTCGCCATGTCATTAACGTAATCACTCTCCGTCACTTTGAGAACTCAACAGAATACTCGATATTTTAAGTAGTCAAAACTTTTCGTTTCACATCCGACGTGATTGCTCGTGAATTTCCACTCGTGTTCGTGTTGAAGAAGATACGATAAATCGTTTCACGGTCTCAGACACAAATGCATCATGCGGTTGGAGACGCCTAGTGATGGGATCTGAAACACTTCAAATTACATACATATGTACTTCGAAACTGTATATGTACATAACTATGTTTGTATACATATGGCGAAAAAGTTGAATCACTTTGAAAATTATATGAAGCTTAAAAGTCTTAAAAGTCCTGAGAGCTTTGATAGGTTTCAAATAAAATAAAATAGAACCGCGCAAAATTTATAAACAAATGTTCATGTATATTACTGATTGAACAACGAAATCGAATTTAAAGTCAATATAGTATCGTATATAATGTAATATATTACATATAGCTTAGAGTAATTACATAAAAGTAATTATATTTAAAGTTAAATAAGTTAATACGTAAATGATAGTAATGCTTTTATTATTTATTTAGTAGCAATATGCAACTGATGTGAAATTAGGATATTCGTCACTAGAGACGCCTATGAACGTTTGAAATATGCGCGAAACCGAAGAGACGCAATATAACATTGTACATTCGGTAGAACGCCAAGCTCCTCAGAGGTCGTGAAATAGGAGAGTGATTAGTTGAAACACGAATTTCTACAAAAACACATGTGTTTTCGAATGTAAACACGACGCCACTGAAACGCAGCTGCTGAATAGATTCCTGTCGTCCGAATTTAGGTTAACATATGCCAAACTTAACTTCTTCAAAGAATTTGGAACCCACGCAGCAGGTTAGCCTAAAGGTATTTATTCTGAAATCACTTGCATTTATATAACTGACATTAGAATTTCGATAATTTACACAGAATTCGATTGCGTTTCGTGCGATATAAAATAGTTTATATAGAAATCTGTACGTATAAAGAAATCAAATGGCCAATAAATATTAATTGATTAATTATGATTGATCGAACATCGTCCAAATCCCAAAAAGTTCGACTCAAAGGATCGAGTTGGCTTTTTATTAGAAGGCATTGACCGAATTCCTAATGCTTTTCTTTGAAAGCAAAGGTTTACGTGAGCTACAGAAATGAATTTCGTGTGGCGGTCGATGCGCGAGATGTTTTTCTACGAAAACGTAATTGACAGGTTAGGTTATCGAGATATAATCATAGCATAAGAAACCACAAACCTTGGTAAGTGAAGGAAGGGCTTTGTATGCTAAGATTGATAAAGAATTTTGTTTGTAAATACTGATTACATATAAGTATCAACGACACGCGACCGTCCTCAACCTATTGGGTTATCGCGAGAAAGGAACAGCATACCGTTGTGTGACATTTTTTATCCATCTTGATTTTTACGCTATCAAGCTTCGTAAACATTTTTTATCCGTGACGGTATCTTTAAAAACACGCAGTAAAACCTATTCGTTATCGGGATATTATGATATACGATCGACTTTTTTTTATATTGCTGCGTGAAGTTTAAAAATGCGAATAGGAATACAGTATGCTCAACCTAACGGTCGATCAAAAATTAATAGTGTCATGGCGTCGTAACGGTCAAAGTTGGTATTGTTGTAATGCATTTGATTCGCTGCTGCACTTTTTAAATTTCGAATTAGCTTTGTTCTGGTGGCTTTTCAGCGTTCGCAGACTGCAATGGAAGATGTAAAGCGTGTACGGTTGAAAGTACGATGGGATTTCCGCTTTCTAGAAAATGCAGACGGAGTTCCACAATGATGTACGTATGTAGTCCTTTGACTCTGTGTACGGTTATAGAGAAAAATTAGCTTTTTGAAATAATCCACGTGTGTTATTGGCTAGTAGGGGTCGTTTCATGTTCACCGCTCATTGTTTTCGTCGTACCACGAGGGACTGCTTTTATGTCAATACTTCAAAGTGCTATAACCTACGTGGGGGTATCATACGAGGCAAAAGTTACGTGAACCAGAGTCGCACCATCTTCATTATCATCTTCAGGTGTCTCCGCACGGTAACGTACAATTTACGTATGCCAAAGGGCATCTTTGTATTTAAGACTTTTTTAAGAGCATGCACGAGTCAGTTTCCTTGTTATATGCAGAGATACACAGTCTGGTCTTTGCACTTCTTATTGCGTATATTTAATGAATTAAATATAGTAAAGTAAATTTGAAAGACAAGTGAATAATTTACATGCAAAAAATAGATTTTATTAAAGATTCATTTAAACTTCTTATTTCTAACCTTTACAACGTTCTACCAATTTTTTAATATATTTCAGCGTATGTAATAAATGAGAGATAACAAAAATGTTCTGAAATTTAATAGAAAGGACGTCGAACTTCCATTTCATTTTTTATCTGGTCTGTGTATCTCTGCTTTTCATTACAATGTACAATCCCGAGGAAAGCGGAACTTTGTGATGTATACGCGTACCGAACTAAGCATTGGTGGAGAAGAGCACTGTCGATTGCATCCGCCGACAGGAACACTAATCACGGGACTCGCTGTCTTTTAAGATTATTAAAATCGTCAAAGCTTCAACGTCCTCAAAGGGTTAATTACCCTACGGGATATTTATGGCTGGGTTGCTCTCTTCCCTCGCTCGCCAGGGAGCAGAGGCTATTAAAGAAGGAGCACGCGGACAGAGAAGAGGTAGACTGCGAACTGCCGCGGAAAAGAGCCTTTCTCTTCGTGTGTCATTGTCAGGGCTTGTAGATAGATTGCTCAGACGGTAATTGATTTCCTGTGCCGTGTCGAATAATTGAACGCTCAATGTTATACAGTTTTACTTAAAAGAAAATAATATTTGATTTATGTCTATCATTCGCGTTCAACGAATTCTTCAAAACGTTCCAATGTAATTTGAAATTTACAAGCACTAGACTGTCTGTTGTATTTTCCAAGTTGAAAATCGCTTCCTAGATTCTAGTTTAAATATACATGATCTTTCAAAATAACTAAATTTCACATAACAAACAAAGTTTCGCATTTGAAGTTCATTGATGAAGTAGCGTTTAATAGTAGGTAATAACACACGTAATTTCAACCATATTTCATTGAAATAATATCTTTAACAAAAAAAAAAGAAGAGAAATAAATTCTTCATAAAGAGAATGCAATCATTAAACTTCAACATACAATAACTTATATTGCGATTAATTGTTTTTGTTCTTGTGCTTCACTACAAAAAGAGGAAAGAGAAGAAGGAAAGAGGTAATGATATTGACTCGATACTCTTGATAAACTGGTATGCAATGGGCCAGGATGCAAGAAGGCGTAATATATAGAAATAGATGCAAAATGTAATGTTGTAACGATATCTCAGACGTATATATTCTGTAGGAAGCGTACTTAGACGAAGTGCTTACTCGCAATCGCTTTAAGAGCAAGGACACGCCAACTATGAAAGGTGTTAAGAGGAACCGCGAACAGGCCAGCTGCGATAATGCACTCGTATAAACGACCGTATGCCTCATGCGGATTAACGCTCGAAGAAAAAGGTTCGCTTGCCGATGGGCACCATCGTTACATTTTAAAAGAGTGCTGTCATGCTATTATGCGGCCGGTGATATGATTCGTTTGCATTAAACATTTATACGTGTTCGTATCCGTAAATCGCGAAAAAATAACGGAATACTAAATGCACGAGATTTCAGCTACCAACGAACGGTTTTAGTTGTCCGGGAAGAATGTCGTGTATCGTTCTTGGAATGTCGTGATGGGTTCATATCGTTTCTTGAGAAGTCCTTTAAGAAATTGACCGACTAACGTGGTTGCTTTTAGTACTCACGATTTCATGCGTGTAATTTTTATGAATTTTGTTAATCTAATGCAAGATTCGCATTTAATGCTTAAATGTGCTTTAGTGCTTTTATGTTTCTTTCGCTTTTCTTCTTTAAATTTCCATTGAGTATTGCTCCGTTGCATATTTGTCTATTACTTCTATCTATTTGCTTTCCAAAATACGTGATAAAAATTTCGGTCACGCAACTATTTTTCTTCGTTCAAATAGCATCTTATGTATTAATTTATGCGCTCTCTGGTTAATCGATTCTTGGTTTAATTTCACAGTAGAGCAAGTTATACGATCTCGAGCGACGACATTAACGAGACGACGAATTGTCTCCTATTCTGTAGACGCGTTTCAGTATGTTTAATGCGCCACTAACTTCGGAATGACGTGAATTACACGGGTGACGTTCGTCTGTACAGGATCGTTCACAACGGAATCTAATTTTCGTGTAAAAAGAGAATAACGAAACCAGACGTACGTATTTAAAATCTGGATTTGAAAATACGAAACACAAATTCGAATATGAAAATTCAAAATCTGAATTTGAATTTAAGAGTATAATAATTAAAATACTGCGGATGCAACAGATTTCTCGAACCAATAAACAATCTGAATTTAAAAATATAAAACTTAAGATACAACAAATGTGTGGAATCACAAAATTAATAAATAAACTGGCTTTCTTTTAGATATCGAAGCATATAAATTAAAATACAATGGACATCAGTTTCCAACTCAATAAGCAAACCGAACGTATAACAGCATGGCGCACCATCATTTGCAATGGAAAGTATCGTCGATGGCTAACAATACTACCGATAAATTTCTAGCAGCGTACAAATATCTTAATAACACGTATTGCTAAATTATACTCGTATACCTTCCCATTTGTCAAAAGACTAAAAAACACTTTTTTCTCATCACGCGCCTCAATTTGCAGCAACCTGTAAGCGCATATTCAAAGCTGCCATTTCCAAGAAAGGTTTCCCTTATCGCAGCGAGCAAGAGATGCCGGTCGACATAACGTTTGGAACCCTCGTCCGTCGTACTAAACGTTCCTAAATGAATCGTTAATCGTTAACGGCGTGGCGTTACGACTCTCAGGCTCGCTTATAAACCGGAAATTCGTTGGTCGAATGTCCAACTGTCCAAATCGTTCGGCAGCGAAGCTCTTCCGGTCAATAAAGTCAGGCCTCGTTTATTGCTAAAAGAGACCTAGCAGGTCCTGGTTGTTTCTGACCCATCATTAAAGCGTACGTTAAGCGCACTGTTTTTTCATTTCGTTAAATCGTTCCGACCTCTGCCCCCTCGACGCTGCTTCTCTCGTTTCTCTATATGTAATCGTTTCTGGTTCCCGGTTCCACCGAGCGAGACTCGTAGGATCGTCGAAAGGTTGTAAACGGTCGCTCATCCAATACGGAATGTCGACTACGAACGGAATAGCCCGGATTCCTGACTTTATTAAGCCTTCGGTTTATGCGGAACATTTTGAACGTTGACCCACGTGCAGCATCGGAAACAAAGCCTACGCGGTTCGGAGAAGCTACGGGTTCGACTTGGATTTTCACGAGGAGCATAAAAGCGTGCACGGGGTTGACTCGCGATGATAAAAACGATTACACTCGAGCAAACGGCCTGCTCATTTAATCGTCGTAGTTAACGCGTCTCGCGGTATGGTTTCACGGATGAAATTCGCCGTGACAGACTAACGTTTGTCGGTTAATTCTCCTTTTCTTTTTTCTTGCGTTTGCATATGGTGGAAAAAAGAAAGATAAAATTAGAAAATTACACGGAAACCGCAGAGCGTGACAATTCGATTCATTTGTACGCTTGTGCAACGAAGAAGGGACTTTAATGCTATTTATGAGACACAGAGGTCTCGTAGATTTATAGTATTCTATATTGTACATGATATTTTATGGAATAACGGACAATATGAGTATATTGCGCGACAGGTTTATAGGTTTATTAGCTCTTTTATACGGCAGAAGAAAATTCTAACTCGGTTTTTGCGTCTCCGAACCTCTTGGCTTTTTTGCGCCCTTTCGGTTATCCAGTGGATGCAAGCACATTTAACCCGGTCGCGCCCCAAATAATCGTAAAATTTGATAATTAAATTTAATCGCACCTCTTTAATGGCCCTTCGTCGTTGCCATTGTGTTCGTCCACACAGCGTTTACTGCGATGCTCGATTACACGAAGCTTTGAAACATATGCTTTATATACCTCGTCTTCGAACGATGATACGCCATTACGTTTCTGACACGTCATTAACTTCGTTAGTGCTTACGACGTAAGCCGTTGGAGGAACGTGAACTCGCCTAAATCGAAACCGTTGCTACGCCGCGATAAAAGTTCTCGTAATCGTAACGTTGGAATATTTCTGTTTTTTTTTTTATTTCGTAGCGAATTGAACGCGGTACGGTCTCAACTAACATCTCTTAAAATAGCAGCTATGAGGAACGCAGTTCCTAGTGTACGTTATTAATGTATCATATTATAGTCGGTATTCCATTAGACGGTGTCGGTCGTTGATACAGCGGCAACGTATATTTTCCATGGTATTGGTCATTCGTCTTGAAACACGTGGTCATCGCGCAAGTTGTCGCGACTCGAAGCAGGTTTCGATTAACCGACGCGACGTCTCGTTGATTCTGGCGAAAAATACGATTGAAATTGCGTGTTCGTTTCTTGCATGCTGTTTCACCGTGGCTAGCTGCTTTTTTATGCGGGAAATGAAAGCAGCGTGAAAGGGGATATCCGTTTAAAGCTTGTTGGCAGAAACGAGAAAAGTAAAAGAAAGAGAATAAAGCGAGAGAGAAAAAGAAGGGGAAAAGAAACGATACGTCCGGAACGCAATTTGTACTGTGTCATACAGTCAGGGGTCGTTGTATTAACAACGCGACAGAAAACTTATCGCAACGCTTAAAAGCACTAGCCTGAGTATTAAGCGTCGCGATACTACTCGAGCAATCTTGTCTTGCTAAATGCTAGAGTGCACGTAATTCCATGGAAGATATTGGATAACCCTCGAGTGCATCGTCGACCGTAAACGGGCACCGGGAGGGTTAACTACGTGGAATATATCTTTATCGTCGGTGAAAACGTGCGTATCACGGTGATAGTTCATTTTCGACGTGGAAGAGTGCTTCATCGGGGATCGCCAATTAAAACGTCGTACTGCCAACAATGCCGTAGAATGGAGCCCGCAATTCCGCGCTTCATCGACGTGGGTTTTTGATGGCGGAGACCGCGCCCGCCGTCGAACCTCTGCAACACAACGGGTCCAGGATCACCGTGCGTATATACGCGTGCACACCGATATGGAAACGCAGCGTGTACCAGCGTGACGCGGCGTGTGGTTGTAAGAGTCGGTACAATGGAGCAGAAAACAAGAGACGGTCGGGACTTCAAAGTGCCGGATGTTATGGAGTGAGAACGCTACTGGATCCGGCACAGTCTGATAATCATCTCTACCAAATACTTTGTAATCGTTAATTACGGCGCAGCATCGACGACGCTTTGGGCAAAAGATCAGTCACTCGGTGGTGCGCAGGGGTGGTAAGCAACGAAAGAACGAAGGGTTTTATAGTCTTTTATATCGTAAAGAACGGCACAGATATATGTATATTTCAAGTCCTCTGTAGGCTTCAGATTCGGGTCCTTTTGAGTCGAGCAACCCCTTATTCAGCACTTCGCCTTCTTTAACCGACGGGTATTACCGATTATTTCTCGTGAGTCTACTTTCCCTCTGAATGCGCGTTTTCCATTGCGCGATTCTTAATAAGGTGCGCTTTGTATCAAGGGCTCGGAAGCAGCGACTTTTACGCCGGCGATAGGAAAGTTAAATATGTTCAGTTTTGTAAGCGGCGTGATACATTTTTTCCGTTTCAACCATCTTGCGCTGCATTTATTAATTTTCAAGCTTTCGAAATTTGCTTCGGCGAATTATAACGAGGCAATGGGAGAAACAGGGCATGTTATCCAAAGTTATATTTCCACTAAAAGCGCAACTTTCGAGTCAGATTTGACGAATGTTTCTTCCAAGCGAGATGAATTATAAAAGCGGTCTGTCACGACCTCGAAACATCCCGTTTATTTTAAACGCATAAATCTTCGTTCGGGCAAAAGATGGTAGTGATTCAAAAGGAAATAGTCGAATTTATCGTGGATGTTTAAATCGTTGGAGCTGTCAAGTCGCGGCAGTGCACGGTACGTCAAGTTGCGAGCCAGGATCAAATGAGGCGTCGGAAGATTTCGCGAAAATTTTTCTCGAACCCCATGAAAACTGTTCCTTTTTTTCCTGCCGAAGGGGCGTAACGCTCGGGTAAATGAAGCGCACTGGAAAAGGAATCGCCGGAGGAGAGAAAGGCTCTGCTAAATATTCGAATGCTCGAGTGCATTCAAAGTGGTGCTTAGACTCGGTACGCGGCTATCATTCTCCGCTATATTTTAAGTCTTTCTATGCGTGCATTGTCTTTTATCACACGTATATTTCAAGCCATTTCTTCGACGTATATGCATCTCCGTGTAAAATGCGAGGAATAAGCATCGTAAGTGCATTTCATTCTCCTTTATGGTAGAACGAATCGTTTCATTAAGTTGACTGATTTAATTACCACTTATCGAACGCGCAACATTCATTACGATGATGCAAAGCGTGAATAATTATACCCTGGTTCTTTGAATGTTTGTGCGTATGAAGTGTAATTTTTAATTGCCTGTAGTTTCTTCGATGTGTCGTACAGTTGATCGGAGTGATTTATTCGTACGTGGTTTTATCAATCAATTTCGCAGCTTCATTTTGCATATCTTTAAGAATTATCTTAGTATCGTGGACAAGGGGCCTGGGGTTGCGGAGCATGTGCGTAGTGGGGCTAAGACAAAAGACACAAGGCTAAAACAAAAGACACGAGGCTAAGACAAAAGACAAGGGGTTGCTAAGAGACGATAAACGAATTAACAGCATTGTGAGTTGAGAAGTCAGAGAGTGCGAATTGCGTTGTCGAGATAGTGTTGCTAGCGTTGTCGAGAGAGTGTGGTCCGCGTGAGAGAAAGCATTGGATCCGTGGTAACGAGAGTTGTTAATCAACTATCTAGTTGTCTTAATTATAGTACGTTATTGTGATTAGTTCACGTTAAACAACCATCGTTTCCTGTTTAATCCATTTATTGCAAATAAACTAATTGTAGCAAAGATCCTACATTATTATACAGCTTTAGAATTAAACAATTCCTCTAATATAATCCGATGTTATATAAAAAAATCACACGAACGTTTCGACTATCGAGATATCGAGACTTTGATATTTTCGTTATAATTCTTTTAACGTTGAATATACGCGATTTATAACAAATTTTATCTCTTTCGATGCTTTTAATTTTTAAAGGTAGGAGAAAATTTAATAGACCGCGTTGGATCATCAGATTCTAATTTCTAGTAGACGATACTTTATATGCACGGATCTAGTAAATTTTTAATTTCATCGGTAGAGCTTTCCTTGGAAAAATTCCAATGCACGTAACACGATTCGGTAGAAGAAAACGAACTCCTCGGTAATCTTTATGTTTTCTTGTTTGCCTTTCCAGCTCGGTTATTACTTACCAGCAAGGATAATTATTATGAGTCGGCCCCTTCGAGCATCTCGAAAACGGTGTAACTTGCGGTCGAAGCTTCCGAGTTTCGCGCGTGCGTTAATCGTAATCGCTTCTCGGAAGATTTCGCCCTATGGCCAAGGCGTGTCGTCTTCGTTGCTCGTTTCTTTGTTTCGTATCGTCCATTAACCGCGAGTGGGCTCGTGCCGTGCTGACCGCACCAGGAAATGAAGACGAGTTATCATCATCGTCTGGAAATTACCGTAGTGCGGTGTGTACAACCCTGTCGCTAATAAGAGCAACGTAAAACGGCGGGAAACGGGCGGATGGGTAGAGGGGAGAAGGGTGGAATAGGCCGAAGAAACGTCATAAAATCTGAGCAACCACAAAAACCGCAGCGTTGCACCGCTCTAGGTTCAAGTAGCAAGTTCAGTGGCCTTGATAGGCGTTGCAGCAATGTACTCTCTGCGGCTCGTACTCTTTCGAACACGGTATAAGTCGCAGGTGTGTAGGTTTAAAACGAGCCTGTTAATCGTCCGGAAAACTATTAGATGCCTATTTCTTTTAATCCTACTTAAAGATGAGTACTACGCTAATAAATTGCACGCTTTATTTCGCGTAGCTTTTATCACCAATTAAAACGTGTACTTATCGAGGCATCGTTTCGTAACTCTACCAGTTGCGCACGTTTGGAAACGTGTTCGATATTACGTTCGTGAAAAAAAAAAAGAAAGAGAAAGATGAAAAGAAACGAAGGGATCGAGGTGTTTATCTGGTGTCTTAATGAATGAAAATGTTACGAGGTGAACTGTATCTCCCACGATCGTGGCTATTCTTACGGCCCTGACGCCTTAAGTCACGATGCATGTATGCGTGTCCGGAAGGTGGTTGAAAGCCGTGTACAGGTGTGCGTATGTATCGACTCGCGCGTTAGGGAAATAGAAAGTATATAGCTGCGCCTGTGAACTGGTAAACGATAATATTGATTGCCCCGTAGTCAGTGGTTTTTCCAAGCTCCCGTAGATACGATCGGACCGATTGATTCGATCGCGATTGTGAGAGCTCATGGTCCCGCACGAGTGACGCTGATTGCGTTCTAAAACGTGTATCTAGCGCGAGAAAAAAAAAGGAGGAAAAGAAAAACGATGCCGGTGCCCGGTGATTACCGTCTCTTGTAACAGAGTACGCCCCTGCAGGCTATAGGTCGCTAGATGATTTATTGCGCTCGGTCCACGAATTCTCTTTGTTCAGATTACATTTTCGATATTCGCACGACCGCCCACAGACCGCCAAGTTGTTCAGCGGCCTGGGTTTTCACGCGAATCAGGTCAAAGGTAATTTTCCCTGCTACCAGATAGCGTGCAACGTTTTCTCGTAATCAGGATTCGAGCGCGGTTGATTTGGTTTCCCGCGTAATTAAGTTACTACTATCGCGCAAGCTCGTATACGAATCGATGGCGAGTTTCAGGTAGGGTCGGATATCTAGACGCGTCTAGTGGATGCTAATGGACGTCAGGTGGATCGAGACGCATTATCAACGCGTGCATCCTCTACGGGCTGCGTGCACCGCAGGATGCACGTGCACATTCGCATGCATCGACCTGCCGAACCAGTACGACGCACTACGTCCCACTCATGAAGTTCCCGTGAGCTGCGCTACGGGTTTGCCTGTGAATTAGGGGTAGCTTGCTTTGGATTATTACGTCATAACAGTACGACCACCTGGATGCAATTGCCGGTACTGATGCGACCGAACCTGTCGTCCTATTTATTGGTTGTCCGCGAGCGCCCGTATCACACGAGATCGCATTGAAATCTCGCCTAACTGCTTGTTCACGATTTACGCTCAGGCTGCTGTATTTACTCGTTTTTCCACATTTTCCCTCCAGCCACTGTTTTCTCCTTCACTCTAATAACAGTTGCTGGATTTTCAAGGTTTGCTTGCCGTGCTTATTACGATAATGATCGTTGCTACATTTTGAAACATCGTGACAACCGTGACAACCGTGACATTCGACTCGACACCGTAATCGTCGTCTAGGAAGTTTCCTGCGCGACGTTCATTTTCACGGCCTCTTGCAACTTCTGTAAAACGCGCCGTAGCAAGTAATCGCGTTCACATCGAAGTGCGTCGGCCCGTATGAATCCTCTTTCCGTGCTCGCGTGACCGATTCATCCGTGTTGGTCGATACCAGGATTTTGTAGCGTACTGATAGACGCTCGATGTCTCGGTGCTCGTCAAATTAATGCAAAACACAAGGTACAGCTGGATACGCGCCCGTAAAGAACATGGCTCGTACCACTTCGAAAAAGGAACCATAAAATATGAAATGTATTAGATTGATAAGGCTCCGGGAGTCTTGCCGGGGTGGAAGAAGGGTGGGAGAGAAAGCAGGAAGATAGGAGACGAAGGGAGACGCGAAGAGCATAAACGTATTTACTCTGGCTCAGCATAATATCTCGAGCTTTTATAACCAATAAAAGTTACAGCTGACACTTCTCTCTCTGCAGCGACTGCGATACGCGGACCAATGCACGGACACGCTTCCTTTTTCGCGTATATACGTTCACTCTTACGCGTAGTCTCGTACTCGCGCCACAGCTAAAGGAACAAGGCGATTTATGAGCAACGAGAGACACGGTAACGAGAGTCCCGACCATCGGAACAATCGCGGCATTGTGCTCCCAGATCTCTTTGTGCCTTCCGACTGGTACTGCGCGCGTAACTCGTGACCTACCACTTCTAACGCCTCTTGGTCTTAATTAAATTAAGCCTGATACGCTGAAAGCGCGCGCGTGTCGACCGAGACTCGCTAACGACAAGTTCCTCTGTGCGTTGGAGTTTCGACGCCAGGCATCTTTAACGACTTCGAAAAGGCGTCCGTTGATAGAGTAGCGACCTCACGCAGCGTGGATCAGTGAGTTCCTTTATAACCATGGATTTTATGTCACGATAAAAGTAAACGCGGCGGGTGTCTCGAGGGCGAACGTGTCCTCGCAATTAATAATATTGGACATGTTTCGTGAAAGAAAAGTAAGATACAAGACGATCCTACTGGGGTATATTCCACGCACGATACCCTGAAATCCGTGTTACGATCGTTTCTACGATTCACCATTGGCAGCCGAACTCTAAATACCGCGATAATAAAGATTTTATGAATGTCTATCTCGGTGAGAGGGCTAGCTGGCAATTAGAAATATTCGCTCCGGAGACAGTTAATATCTTCGTTCTACCGGACAACGCGTTCCGACATCCACCGGCGGGAAAAATTTTATCGCCGCGAAAGAAAAATGGAATAAAAGAGTAATAGCCCTGAAACGCGAGCTGACATCGAAATGCGAGTCGTGCAGCTCCGTTAAAATTACGACTTTACCCTTGCTCCTGGTTTCTTCGCTACGAGGAAGAAATCGCTACGATTCCATTCTGTCCCTTACATTGTACGTCGAATGTACGTGGAAACGACAAACGGTAGTACCGGAAAACGATCGCTCTCTCTTCTTCCTCGTTCAGACAGGCGGATCAACGTGAAACTGTCGTCACGAAACGCTGGAGAGCTAGTCCGATCGTCCGCGAGTCTACTTCCGTCGCGCTTTTACGCTGCTTTTACTGCTCGGAATTAATCAAATGGAATAAAATAAGGAGAATGAGTCACGTTGCCAAGTCGAGAATGGGATTTATCGTCGTGCAAAGCACCTTCTGTTTATAATTACACCGGTATGGATTTACTGCTAATGTTTCGCGTGAAATTGCGATCGATCCGTTCGCCAGTTCCCAATGTACACGCTGTTTATCTAGACACGCGGTCGATATCGCGCGACGTGCTTCTGCTCCTTCTCGTTTTATTGGCGCTACCGCGTTGCCTTACAGCGCGTAATAATAATACATAATACAGGTGGCTTTCGCTCAAAGATGCCGGCGATATGGTCGATAAAACGTCCGTCAGCAAGAAACGTGATTTTCTGATAAATATTAATGCCGTCCTGCTACATCGATGTCCGTGGTTTCGACCGTGAGATAAAGCTCCACGTTGCTATCTAAATCGGGGCGAAATTATCGAACGACATGGTCTGGCTGCGTATTTAATAACGAGAATCGTTTCGATCAATTGGAGATGAAATTGTGTTTGATTGCTGGGTATTGCCGCACGAAGAACCAATTAATGTACAAACTATTGGCGATTGAGTTAGTCGACGAAACAGGGAAAGAGTTCTTGTTGCATGCAAAAGCATAAGTACTACTGTTTATAAC